ATATATATATATATATATTATTAAAAAGTGTGGGTATAGGCTATAATGATATATTTTAGTGATACACAAAATATATTGTTAAATCTCATTCAAAATTAATACTAAAATTATATATAACTATATATCAAATAGAGATATACCTACATATATTGTACCTATAGTGACATTTTTTTGCATGTCACTGTATATAACATTTCTTATAGTAATGACTTAATAACTACTATTAGTTTAGGGGTATGTATTTTTCCTTTCTGTTGGATCCTTCACATGGATGCAATGGATTTTGTAGCTTTTTTTTTTTTGTTAATGTTTTGCTTTATTAAAGAAGCTTTTTGAATTGCTTTCATATATGAAGATTAGTGAATGAAGTTTTCCTTTCTTTCTCATTTTTTTTTTTTTGCTAGTTACTTCAATTTAGTTGCTAGAACCTATCAATAAGACAATAATATTGCAACTCATTTTAACTATTATTATTATTATTATTATTATTATTATTATTTAAAAGAGAATAATTCCTTGTCATCTGTTTATATATACATTATACAGAGTATAATTTGGCTAAAATTGGGAAACAAATTAGCTATAAATAAGGAACTAAATATACGCCTAACAGATATTATAATAAATCAAAATATATTATCATATATTCTAACACACCCCCGCAGTCAAAGCAGGAGGTCGCCGAATGCTAAGACTGTCTCGAAAATCCTCAAATAACACCAGCGGAAGACCCTTGGTGAAAATATCTGCAATTTGATAACGTGAGGGGACATGAAGCACTCGAACCTGGCCGCGAGCAACCTTTTTTTCGAACAAAATGTATATCATTTCAATATGCTTAGTGTGTTGATGATGAACAGGATTTCCAGCAAGGTATATGGCACTAACATTGTCACAATATACCAATGTAGCCTTTTGAATTGGACAATGAAGCTCCAAAAGTAAATTTCTCAACCAACATGACTCAGAAACCACATTGGCAACCCCTCAGTATTCTGCCTCTACACTAGATCATGATAAGGTAGGTTGTTGTTTGGCGGACCAAGAGATTAAGTTATCTCCCAGAAAAACACAATAACCAGATGTAGAACGTCGTGTATCTAGGCAGCCACCCCAATCAGCATCAGTATAAGAAAGAAGGGTGGATGTAGAAGATGGATATAGATGAAAACCAAGATCCATAGTACCTTGAATGTAACGCAAAATGCGTTTGAGAGCGTGCATGTGCTCCTCCCTTGGGCTGTTGCACGGCATAAGTAATGTCGGGTCTTGTGAATATAAGGTACTGAAGAGCCCCAACAAGACTCCTATAAAGAGATGGATCCTCAAAAGGTGTGCTTGTAGTAGCACTGATCTTTGGTTTGGTATCAACAGGAGTAGGAGATGGCTTACACGATGACATGCCAGCTCGATCAATGATCTCTGAAACATATTTTTTTTAGATAAAAATAAACCACCTGCATGATGAGTGACATTGATGCCCAGAAAGTAGCTTAAATGTCCCAAGTCCTTCATAGAAAATTCTGAGCTAAGAAGGGATATGATAGACTTAGGAAGCTCATCAGAAGAAGCAGTCAAAATTATATCATCCACATATAACAATAAATAAGCCATAGAAGTACCTCGACGATAAATGAACAGAGAATGATCCGAAATACTGTAAGAAAATCCAAGAGTACGGACATAGTTAGCAAATCTCTTATACCAAGCCCGTGGGGCTTGTTTAAGCCCATAAAGAGATTTCTTTAGCAAACACACATGATTAGGTCGATCAGGGTCTCGAAACCCCAAGGGTTGATGCATGTAAACAGTTTCCTTGAGTTCTCCATGTAAGAATGCATTTTTTACGTCAAGTTGATGAATAGACCAAGCTTTAGAAAGAGCTAAACTGAGAACTATGTGAATAGTTGCTAGTTTGACCACCGGACTAAACGTTTCACCACAATCCACGCCAACTTGTTGAGTTTTACCATCACCTACAAGACAAGCTTTATGCCTCTCAAAAGAACCATCAGATTTGTCTTTATGAGAAAAAGTCCACATAGACCGAATTACATTAACATTAGTTGGACGGGGCACCAACTCCCACATCTTATTATTAATAAGAGCATCCTATTCATCATTCATAACCTTTTTCCAATTCGGGTCACGAAGAGCATATACAGGGTTACGAGGTAGTGGGGACTTAGGCACAGAGGTAAGAAGAGTGAAGGACTTCTTAGGCTTATAAATCCCATGCTGGCTTTTGGTAACAGGCCTTTTTGGTGGGCTTGGATATGAGCTTGGAGTTGGGCGAGGAAGAGAGATGAGTACGAGAGGAGGTGGGGTGGAGGGGCTCCGCCTAGTCAGCATGGGAAGGCTTTGTTGCTGGTTGCGCAAGTCGGTTGTTGGATCCGGTGAAATGGGCTCTAGTGAGTTGGGTAAAAGAGTAGCTTGTGGTCTTGTTTGAGTAGAGGAATGAGAGACCATATAGGGAGATGGTCCATCATCTAAAAACTCATAAGTGTGATTTTGATGAGTATGTAACTATGCAAAGGGAAATTGCGTCTCATCAAAAATTACATGACGGCTAATGATGATTTTTTTAGATGATAAATCAAAGCATTTGTACCCACGATGATTCGGAGGATACCCCAAAAAAACACAATAGTAGACCGAGGTTGAAATTTGTTTATGGCTGTAGAAGGAATGAGAGGATAATATAAACACCCAAACACTCGAAGATGAGAATAAGATGGGTCCTTTTGATAAAGGATTCGGAGAGGAGAATGATAGTTTAATAACTTGTGAGGAAGAATATTGAGAAGGTATGTTGCCATTTGCAAAGCGTGATGCCAAAAAGAAGGGGGAAGAGAAGCATGGGCCAATAAGGTACGTACAATGTTGTTGATTGTACGAATTTATCTTTCAGCTTTCCCATATTGAGGGGATGTATGAGGACATGAAAAACGAAAAGAAATACCATTAGCCTTACAAAATTCCCAAAAAGGCCCATTATCAAATTCGGTGCCATTATCACACGATATATTTTTTGTCTCGTTCAAATTGAGTTCGGATGAGGGATTTGAAATTCAAAAATGTGGTGAGTATTGGATCCTTTTTCCTTCTTGTATATGGATCTCTGTTTGTAGTCTAGGGAGAGCGTTTATCCAAACATATATATAAATAAATTAATGTGGCGTGGGAGACATGCAGAAAATTACAGATTTAACAGTCACTGCAAAAAAGAAGTAGATGATGGGGTACTGAATTTGCAGTCATTTCAAATTGAGGAATATGCATCCATCGCAATTAATGAAGAAAACTACACTGAGACTTCAGAAGTACCCAAGGTGTATTCTACTTTCTACACCTACCCATCAACTTTTATTCAACATTACGTTTGTCATTTATATGTCACACCTATAACATGTTAATATGTCATTTAATTTATATCTCTCATTTACTGTTCCAAAATATTTTATTATTATTATTATTAATAGACGTTGTATATAATAATTAATTTTTTATAAAAATTAGTGTATATAAGCCAAGCTCTGTTGGTTATTCTTCATTCTTTAATTTCCTCCCACCATCCCAACTAAAAGCATAACGTATATTTGGGTCTTAGAGTCCAAACTAATTATGAGGCTATTCTTTCGTATGGAAAGAACCACACACATTTAACGGAGAACCTAGAAAATTTGGCCAATGCTGCCAAATGGTACAAGGTTCAAATTATTTTCATTTGGAGTGTCTTGGAAATTAAAAACTCTCCACATTCCCAAACCTGCATATTAGATGCCCAAGAGAGACATTTGAAAAAAGAAAATATCAATTAGTAAAGGTAAAATGGAAAGTTTTCGAATTCGCAATAAGCAAATAGATAATATATTGCTGGCTCTTGCTAAGCATTTGCCTATCTTTCTTCAAAAACTACTTATCTCCAAAATCAAGGTACAGCATATATATAATTTTGTAGTTTCATAATTATATATAATTACACAAGCTCATCTTGGTTTGCTGAAAAAGGTGAACTGGGGAATTGAAGAAATGCAACAAGTATCATCATAGATCAACCAAAGTGCTTTGCCCAGAAAAATTCATTCAGGAAGATATATTGTGTCTGTGCATGAAGCATATATATATTTTAGTTGCATTAGTTACTCTTATCATTATGCTCTCTGCAAATATATTCCTTTGCCCTCCAACCTAGGGATTACTTGTTTCCGAGAATTAAGAGTAACTTTGTTCCATGTAGGGTTTCTGAATTAATGTATCAGTTATACTTTGGGATTATCATTCCCTAGTCTATTGCCAATGCTAACTTATTTTAGCAAGGAAAGTAAATGTCAGAAAGGTATCCAGGTGACTCTATATCTTTAGGTCAAAATTTAGCATCTTCACTAGGTCCATAAACAAACCCAATTTAGCTCAAACAAAAACCATAGTTTTATCACTAAGAATTACACTATTATTCTAATAAATACCAATATTACACTAGACTAAACAAAACAATACTTGGATATGGATTTCCATTCCAATTATATATATGAACATTTCTATGCTTCCTAAGGTTATTTATGGCAACAAAGAAGTGCATGCTAGCTTAGCAGTAATTCAAAATTGATAAAGTTGTCTTCACCAATTCATTCACCCAGACTCTGATCTTTCATGAAGCTGATTTGACTGAAGGTTATCCACTTCATGAAAGACCCCACTGCCTTTGCATGTCATAGGGTATGGAGTTACAACTCTCTTCAAAGCTGGAAAATGAGATGCTTTCTTCTATAGTTCCTGAATTTTCATAGTTTCCGGTGGGGCTTGGGTCCATGAGAGCATTAGTATTCCCATAATACTGTATTGAGGAACTGGTGGACAAGTTAGGAAGAAATTGTGAAGCCATGTTGGAATTCTCCATCTGGAACCAACTTTGAAGATCTTGGGGGAAAGTAGTAGGTTTTCCAAAGTTTTTCTCATTAGGGTTTTCAGGGGCAGAGGCATTGAGATAGATCTGACCTGCTTGTTCCCTGAGGTAAGCTAGTTGTGCTTGTAAATTCACCACCTACAAAGATCAAAGCAAAAAGTGGCATATATTAGTAAGTACAAATCAGCTAGGGTTTTCAATTACATAGTAAAATCAATGGTTATGAGATGGAAACAAACCTGTTGTTGGAGTGCAAAAATATGAGCAACACATCCATAAATTGGATCCTGAAGTCTAGCTTGAGCTTCATAAGAGATTGTGACTGCAGCTTCACAACGGTCACTGACAGGGAGGTGAGCAAGGAGCTTTGAGACATTGCTTGCACCAAAGACCTTATGAATCGCTGCAAAATGTGTGGCACCTTGTTCATGGCAAAAGTAAGGTGCAAAGACACAACCTCTCACACATTTCCTTCTCAAGAATTTGCAGGCTCCACAAGGAGAACCAGAACCAGTCATCTTGGCCTTTTAGGGGGTTTGTGGTCTTTTAAGATATTGGTTGTTTCTGGGTCTCTTCAGCTTTGTGCAAATCATAATCATTTATCACCATCTTTATATACACCACAGCAAGAGCAAAGGGTGGATTAGAGTAAGGAATATTTAATTACACTAGGTCCCCTTAATGGCCTACACTGTTCATTATTTTTCCTCATATAAAACACTATCATCCTCCTCTACCAAATTTTTATTTGTCAGAAATAGAGATTCCATTCAACATCCTTATACGACAAAAGAGGTAGCATTAACCAAACCCATTTTGTTTGATGATTGGATCTATCTGCTCTTGTCCTTTCTTTTCTGAATAAAATGTATTGGTACCTTGAATACTGATAACCGCAAGTACATTTTATACTACTTTACTTGACCCGTGAGAATATGGAAATGGACGAAACAGAAATCGATGAGTTTTTTAGTAGTACTTCTACCTGTTTACTCATTAAGAACTCAATTGTTACAGCATTAACTGTAATTACGACTAACTTATTAGTCAACTATTGTAGATGCCGGTTTTTCTTGACCAAAGATGTTTGATTGAACCTTGGAAGCAAGAATTATCTTCCATTATGCGACAAAAGAAGAATGCCCAACTGTTACCCAACACAATTTTTTTCCTCGTCACGTTTCTTAATTATTTATACATCATATAGAATGTGATTCGTGTAATTAACAATAATATGGCACTGAGGTACCAATTAATACATTTTATTCCGAAAAGAAATGCATTGGTACCTCTATCTATACTGTGATTTGAGGCAGTGTCCTTTCGAATACCAACACGCGCACATTTGAAGTCATCGGGATCTGATCTTAAAATTATATTTTTATGAGCACAATCTTAATTAAAACGCTCCCTCTCATTGTTTAGCAGTTTTCCTTCTATTTTATTTTGTTTGACATTTTATTAATTGTTGTCAGTTTCAATTTGATTGTTATTTTACGATATATGTAACATCAGATATATATTAGGATAATACTCATCCATTATTAATGTATTTTTAAATTATTAATGAGAATTTAAAATGTTTAAAAGTATATTGAGAAGTTATACAACTTATTTTATATAATCAAAGATATTAATTGCATTTTTTTAGTCTGATACTAAAATTTTAAACTAGTGAATGAGAAGTTATCAATAATTGTTGGTACAAATAATAGTAATTTATGTCTCTTTATCAAGTTGTTAGGAGGAAATATGTATACCTTGTTTGCACTGAAAATCTTTGACAGAAATTATTTCGATTATGAATTAATTTGTTGTGGTACCATGATTAGCAAAAATAAAAATTCAACTGAGAAATTACAATATTATTTTGAGTCATTATTATTATCATATAAATACTTCTCGTTCATCTTTTACACGAGGGAAAAAGAGAGAGAAAAAAGTGCGCGTAAATAGTTTCTTGACACAAACTGTTACTCCATTAGCGCTTTACAGTTGTTTTCATGGGTTAATGAAGCAAATCGTCTTATAAACTTAAGTTGAAAAACCAGAGAAAAGCATAGTGAATTGAGGTAAAAACTTTATGATTATATTTATATGTATATTCCATGTGAGTTCAATAATCTGGGGACAAATTGCCCCTTTGAGGGGCTCTCTAATACGTTAGTGGGCATTGGTGTTTTCAATGAACAGACAGTGGTTATGGTTCTTATAAGATTGATTAGAAATTAAATATGTGAGAAATTAATGATCAACATTAATTTCCTAGTGGACTCTTGTTATGGGAATAATCATTGTCCTCCTCCTCCATGTACAGGTAATGAAATTGCATGTAAAGCATGCCCAAACAAATAAACGACAGAGAAAAAAGAAGCAGATTCCAAAAATGAAAGAAACAAACGGTTGTGACACAAGTTGAGATGATACAGAAGCTAATGAAGACAGAGAGAGGAGCGAGGAGATGTGATTTGTTTGCCCTTTCTAAGCTTCAAATTGTTTAAGGCTTTGAAGTCATGGCATGTCGAGCAATACCGTATAACTAATTAATAAATAATAACCATTATCAAATATTGTACATATATATACTCGTTCAAAACTTTAAATCACTTTCTTCTGTCGAGTATAGGCACTAACATGTAGGTCCGTCCCTCTGCAACGGGTCCCGCTTTCAAAACTAGCTAATAATGACACTCTAACAAAAAGCCACAAAATAAAAATAAAATAAAATAATGCAATTATATTGACTATTAAGAAACCACTATGCATAATATGCACAAAGTTTTATTCGTATTGGTATTAGTTGATAGTAAGAAATTTTAGCTAATAGTAAAATGTGTAAAAAATAAACTCACTCATTAAAGATACTTTTAGGTGATAATGAAATGCTAATCTTTTAAAAAATATATAGATATTAATCATTGAAGTAGATTTTACATCGTACAATATATTTTTTCATATACATAAAATATAATTAAACTTTAACCAACACGCTTAAAAATATAGTTACCTATGCATTGTATTAATCTTATTGGTTAATACATAAGATATAAAAATAACACATGGTTCATAGTTCACAAAAAAAACAAAACACATGGTTCAAATAATTAAAGAGAATAACTAGTTATCATTAATTAATAATGTTTTCATTGTAATTCAATGGAGGACTCGACTACCAAAAAAAACTAAGAACACTGATGAAGATCAAAACAATATAAAATCATCTCAAAAACCTATGAAGGACTAAACATTCTAGAGCGTGGAATTTGCGGACACTCACAAAAATAATTATTAATGATAATTTTGTGGTACCAAAATTATAATTGTTACTAAATCAATCATAAATTATATGATTTTGGGGATAATAAATAATAATCATTAAAATTTATTATTTATTATTTTATATATATAATCCGTTTAATTAAATTTTTCTGACAATTGAGTGGCTCTTTATCAACCTTCTATATAAATGTTGATAATAATATTAATAATTTTAGATACATAATCATTATTTAATTACTGGTAAAAAAAAATAATGATCATTTATATGATTCTTAAAGGACAAAACAGTGATTATAAAAAGTTAACTTTAATTTAGTGGGAATTAGATATATGCAAATGATTTAATAACAATTCAATAATAATTAGCAATCGACAAACTTTGATGTCCTTTTAAAAAGATAATTTATAAGTTTAACTTAATCCTACATAATCAACTTGTAGAGTAAAAATTGTTTCTTACTCATATATACTATTATAATCATATATCACTTGATGTAAAATCTCTAACATACTTCTCTCACGCTAGTTAAGGACTGAATATCTCGAACATGAATTAGTGGTTTAGTAATAGTCTAATAGCAAGTTATCTGATAAGTCTAACAATAATCAATTACCATTAAAATAAATTCTAATATTATCTTTCAAAAGTGAAATTTACAACTTAATTAAATCTTATAAAATTGACTTAAAAATTGAGGATAATTCTTAACTTTTTTTTATCAACAAAAAAAACAGTGTCAAATAAGAGATATAAAGAGTACCCAACTCATATACAATAAACAAGGTCCTACAAATTTTCAAACATAACATAGGATTTGGCCACCCAAAAAAAAGGAAAGAAAAATATTTTACCTTGGCAACTTGCCATGCCAAAATCTAAATTTAATTAAATACATGACATATTTTTTATTTGGTACATCTCTTTTGAATACAATGTTATTTCAATACTATGTAGTAACAAAGTCCATACAAAAAATCATACAACTTGACCAAACTTTTTCATATTATTTATTCAACGAGACGGTAGCAATATTGTAAAAAATATATTCTTACAAACAATCATCATCTTACTTATATATACTAATATCGTCATTTCATTAGTTGATATGAGATCTATAACAAATTGTATATTTTTAATTATTAATATTAATTTTGTTTACTCTTCAGTTAATAATTTAAACCTCTAAAAATTTTAATTATTTATTATAATTGAGATGTTTATTACTTTCAATGTATTTCAGTGATCAAGTAAAATTAGCCCTAAAATGAAGACCACAACCCTAAAAGTAATACTCTTATTTAAAACACGGCCAGGGTTATCTGAACTGAATCAAAGAGCTGCTCTAGGTAAAAAGAAGTTAGGAACATAGGGTAGATAAAGTTTATGACTCGTGAGACAGACTTTTTACACTGTATATATTGTATCTGCATGCCTCAATGAAAGCCAATATGACCCTCAAATCAAGAAGCTATGGTTCAATGATATCATCCATATTCTTGTTTGCCACTTGCGCATAACGGCAGAAGAGCCAAGACTGCTGTTGGAGACAGCATGCACATGCATGTACATACCAAGCTTGTTTTTAATAAACTAGTATATATGGTACCGTGTTGAAGAACGGGTTTTTACATTTTTTTATAATGATTTAATCATTTATTATATTAAAAGTAATAGAATGCTAAAAAAGATTGAAATGTAAATGGGAATGTTCGATTAAAAAATTGTTAAAGGGATTTTTGGTACTTCACACGTGATAGACGTTTCATGAAGGCTTCTAACAAGCAAAATGCCTTTGGGTGAGAAAATGAAGCAATTAAAACACTAAAATTATTTTTTAAAAATCAATTACTATTGTAATTTTAAAAAATAAAAAAATTTACTAAAAATATTACGTAAATTAAGAGGACCTACCTATAACTAAAAGTTAATTATTTGTATAAAAATAAAATATGGATATACTTTAAAAATATATATTCAGGCATTAAAAGATTATAAATTATTATAATTTCAAGACTTGCAAAAATCTTAATAATATTAAAAAAAATATTACTTAAATAAATTATTTAATATAAGCACTACACTAAAATTAATTTTTTGTGGCATTTATTCTTTAGCGACTATATAAATTATCATTATTTTTTTTTACCAGTATTTAAATAATGGCTGATGTATCTAGTGTTGCTAATACTATTACCAATATTTATATAAAATGCTGATAAAAACCTACTAAATTATCGGAAAAACTTTTTTTTTAGTGGCAATTCTAGTAGTCAGTTTAAAGGCTATTAAAAGTTATTTTTTTCAAT